TTAGTGTTATTAACATCTGTTTCTATGTTTAATGATTCCAGTTGACTAATATTCCTTTGTGATTTGAATTGATTAGACAAAATATAGGAATGATGATTGTTTTGATTTGTTGAATGATATTCTTCTGTTGATATCCAGTTCATTATTCAGATATAGGAGTGTGAAAAACTTTTAAATGTGTTATCGATATGAAACTGAAGTTATCTATTATTTTATGAAGATAGTTGTACTTAATCCATAATAAGTGTTGGTTTTGATTCAGATTTAACATTTCTTTCTTTTTCATTCTAAATGTTTATTTTATATACACATAAAAAAACATCCCAACTACGTTAATGTCTCTCATACTATCGTTAGATTAAAACAAGTTGTATTCGATGCCAAGGGCAACCAAAATTACTTTCAACCAATCCGATTAAGAGAAAAACGTTTCAATTAATTTACGCCCAGAAATGATTAGGAAATGTCTAATTATTTATTTTTATGCTTTTTTCCTTGTCAATTGCTGCTTTTCATATATTTATTTTATTGGCTTATTTAAACAAAGTTTTCATCCTATATTTCAGAAAGAAAACAATAACAAGGGTATTGCCTTGAATTATTTATCATGATCTCGAGAGCTTGATAAAATTCCAAACCAAATACCATTAAATCTGTTAATCTAGAATAAGACATTAGCTAAATTATAATATATAACACTCACCATAACATGAAAGTATTCTGATCAATATGTTAAGAATGAAACTCAATAATTAATCGTTTTGCAGAACATTTTTAGTAGGCTAGAGCTCAACATAAATTAGAATAATTTTCGTTGTCTGAACTAGTCAAAAAATTAATTCTCTTATCGACCAGCGATGTCTACGCAAACGAAAGATAAGTTACCTGAGTTGGCCTCCTCAATGTTCATTTATAAATTCAGCTGCCCCTGTGGAGATAGCTATATCGGGCGAACTACCAAGCGACTTAACCAACGAATGAGTGAGTATCTACCAGCGTGGTTTATAAAGGGCCGATTCGCAGTTCTATCTTGGCACATCTCATGGATAGAGGTCATGCTGTAGATAAATCGAAATCATTTCGAGTGATCTATCGTATACCTCCATCATTTCCCAACGGAGTTCGTTCCCACCTCCTACATAAAGCTGGAGCCATAGGAATCCGTACATATAACCCCAATTTATGTGTACAGAAGAAATTCGTAACCTCCCTATCCCTCCCATGGCCAGTTATAACTCAACTAACGATTTTTTTTAATCCTAGCTTCAACTGACTCATGATTTCAATCTGTGAAATTTCTAAAATCTCCACAAAACCCATTCTAATAATAATCCTATTTTTGTTATCATTAGCCTTATTTTCACATCTAGTATTTGTTTGTAATTTTCCGCCTTTTGCCGTTTGTATTCTTCACTATCTAATTATTTACACACTTCTTATTACGTAATGATTTTAATGTTTTGTGTTGATTATTCCAAGTCTATTCACTAACGTCTGACCTATTTCCAACGTTTAACTATTGATAAGACTTTTGTTATCGTATTTTATTATTCTTATTACCATCAGTACGCCTGTCTCCCTACTATCAACTTGTAATTTTACATATTCTGTGTGGTGACCTATTCTATTTCATTGTGATTATTAACCTATACTGCCTTGATTGGTTTAACATTTTCGTATAAATATTCATGTATATTAGAGTAAAGCCTGATGACGATCTAATTGAAAACAATTGTTCGCTTATGTGTTGTTCTAATGGGAATCTTTAATTTTTTTAAAAATTAATAATAAATTTGAGTCTCGTACACAAAGATTCAGATACACTATAACATTTATTCATTTGCGTCATTATAATCCCGTCCACCGATCGCTGTGATGCAGTTATAATCACCTCCTATCTTCCTCAAACTTAATTTAATCATTTCAGTTCTTCGAAAGCATTCAATTCTCGATTCTTTCTATGCCTTTTCTGATCTTGTTAATTTCTCTCTCCATGTTAATGTGGAATATGGCAACTTGGACCGATGCTCATCAATATTATATTCTATGTTATCTGTAAGTGATTGACTGAAAGTTATTCATGGCTCATTTTATTTAGCATGTACCAAACTTTCACACAAAAGTAATATTTTGTTATATGAAGTTAATTATTTAGTTGAATAGACTATTGATATTCATTCAATTGGGATACTGTAGTTTCCTGAGTGAAGAAGAGTAGTTTTTCCAGATTCACTATTACCTATTATTTAACCATCTAAGCTCAAAATCCGTTAGATATGTATCTATACAGCATTCCTAAAAAATCATACTATTTAAAAACCTGTATAGTAATTAAAAAAAAAGAAAAATAGACGACTGTCACTGCCACAATTTGACTTGAAAAATTCAAACAAATTAAGGTCCTGGGCTTGAACCCCGCGTGCGTGCGCAGTGCTGAGGAGCCATATACCAGGACGAAACGGCCTTCCAGTGCTTTCAAGTTTTCAATGGTGGTCTACCTTACATCAACTCATGAATTCAACTATTAGAATTAAGCGAATCGCTTTAATCATTCAAACTTGTTGTTATTTGCAAAAGTTGTTTGTTCTACTACCACAAGATTTGAAATTAAGTTGCAAAACTTCACAAATTCAATCTTCCACGTATTAGATTATCATAAGTTTATGAATCTTATTAAGTGATAGGTACTGACTATCGGTTGGTAGCTTGTGTAAAGTGCTACTTCAGATTATTTTATCACTTTCTAAAATTTTTCTAGAAGTTAAGAATGTCTGAAATCACATGTAGTTTCGATTGAATAAAATCCATAGTATATATATATATATATATATATATATATATATATATATATATATATATAAACATTAACATTGGTACAAGAAAGCATCAAATACAGATGCGCCACACACTATTTGATTTTTGCGAGGGTCGGAAAACTACTCGGGCACCCAAAGCAAAGCAGATGGTTTTCTTAGGAAGCCACACCCGGAGCCTTCGACCTAAAGGTCTAATTCACAAGGCAGTAGAGCAACATTAGAAGATGCAGTCCCATGGTAGCCGGTCACCAACAATTGGTTTACACATCATTTGTTCCCTCAGGATCCTGGAGCCCACGTGCACCATTCGTTTGGAATCAGAATTTTCCAACTCCCCTAGGTAGACTCTCAGTGTGCACCAACCCGGTTAAAGCGCCGGACATTCGCTTTTTGTCCTCTCACTTTCGTAAACAACAGTAATGCCGCGAGAAGGCAGGACTTCCCTTGTAGTGGTTGTATACATGTGATAGCATTTGGATAGGGAGATCGGACTCTCCCAACTCTCAGCCGTACCAGGGCATTTGGGGGCTTATATATATATATATATAAGCCCCCAAATATATACGTTACAAACCCTTAAAAAATCTCCAGTAAAACAATTACTTTATATCTAACAGTAATATATTTTAGTTATCCAAACTCTAAATAAATATTTAGTAATTCATATACAAAACTAAGTCCGTTATCACATCTTGTCAATTAAAAATCTTTTTCGAATAGTCATCTGGTAATTAGTCATTTGTTTTAGTGTAATAACTTTATTCAAGTCCTAAACTGTATGATACTGTGGCTAGATGTAATTTTTTAGTAACAAGATAATTTCTGTACATCAATAATGCCTAAAGCTTACATTTATTCAGCAAGTTCATCTATAATGAATGGAGCGTGAATATATCAAAAATCCCTTTACAAAAACCATAATGAGTTATACCAGTTCCAATTGTTAGGCCTTAAAAACTAAGCATGTTCGTTGAGTTCATTTGATAAAACTTTGCCATGCCAACAACCATAAACTACCCCAAGGTCCTTGAAATTTTTATACTACTTCAAGTCAGTTATCAAAGAAACTAGCAAAACTAAGTCTGTAGCCAGAAAAATTAATGAAATGTTAATGTATATAGTGGCAGAACACCAGTGGTTTACAATACATTCTGGGAGTGTTCATAGCGTTGCTGTTTAGTAACAATAGTAAGTGCATAAAATTCGAGTAATAGTTACTCCTCAGCGATCGCCGTAGATGTAACTGTTGTGCTCGTTCAGGAATTTCGGTAAACAATACATGAGTTATAATGGTATGTAAATTTTTAAAATCTCACAAGGAGTTTGGACAGCAAACGTTCAACTTGATAGCTGTACATAAACTAGTTTTAACTGGGTTCTTGTTTGTTGAATGTAAACCGTTACGAAGGAATACTGGGTCGCATTTTTAGTGACTTCATCCTTAATATGATTGACAAAAACCTCACAACTTACAGCAAAATACATGTTATGACTGTAATTGTTGACAAAGTGTTAAGACAAACGCCAGTCCATCTCAAAAATTGTCGGTCCAATACAATATTCCTATTCAGAGAAGACCATCCGAAATGGTTAGCATAAGGCAATTTACAAGACAAACTACAGAAAGTGACACTTGGTTAAATGGACTTGAAATGAAAGAATAACTGAAAAATTCCACTAATCAAATTCGATCATCCATACTGACTTATCTAATTTACATTACACATACACAATCCTCAATTATTTGTGAAAAAATACTAGGGAAATAAAGAAAACAACTGTTGTAAAACCTACGTAATAATCAGTGTCGAGCTATGTTAAGGCTCTAATTTGGAGGAAATATTTGTTGACTTAGCTTAATTTCTATTTTCACACGTAAATTTGAGTGTTGTCAAGCAAAAGCAAAGTCAGTAATACATTGACTAGAAAATCACTTATTTACAATTTATAAAGTGAACAACAAGATCAAAAACAATAAAAGTTCTGGAATTACGAGAAAACCAGATTTTAAAAGTACCGTAACTATACAATTATCTTCTTAATATTGTGCACAAAATATATAAGGAAGATTCTGAAAGAGGTTGAAATATCCACATTAGTTTATGTTAGTAACAGAAAATATAGGTACATCTGTTAAAATATTGCTGATCGAATAATTAACAAAATAAAAATAAACAACTTGAGCTATCCAAAAAGTAATGCTTCAGCTTTCATATTAAGACGACCCTGACGTTTTATAGCAGCGCGATTATGACGTTTGATTTGACGATTGAAGTCAACTTGTTTTTGATGTCTTCTTTCACGACGATTACGCTCACGAATTTCCTCAACAGTAATCAAGGCAGGTTTCTAAAGCGAATTCACGGAATAATTTACTCAAATAAGGTGATTTCACTACATTCTGCGATACATATTTTATAAGAGCAAAGAAAAAAGCTATGAAAAAATCACTACACATCAGATACTCGATGTATTGTACTTTATACTTTACTATGTTGTGGAGCGGTGGCTTCATGGTTAAGACATTCAACTTTCTGCCACTAAGCCCCAGGTTCAAACTCCGTTCGACCTACTTACGCCTGTTACTCCCAATGGGCTCCAGGCGGAGTTAGGTAATACTATAACCACACACAATTAAATACCTGGTGAATGAGTTGATCTACAACTTTCAAAACGGTACGGCAATCAAAGGACACTTGGAACTATTCTGCAGAGTAGTTTGTCTATCATTCTTATCTAAATGATATGAAAGCTGATTACTGATACCTTTACTTGCGATTCTTAATAAACCTAGGAGGAATTGAACAATTTATTAATTATTGGCTTTCCAGAAAATCATTCTTTCTAGGAAAATTTTAGGATGTATTGATGACGCTCAATTAGAATTACTATTTCAAAAGAATATATCATTCTACCACCTGTATTCACTTCCTTATTGATTTTCATTACATCTAACTGATTCACAATATTTATAAACAACAATTATGGAGATTGAACGAATGTTATAGAATAAACGTACCGTTGTAATTTTTGTCTCTTGTACACTGTTAATATCCTTTTTATTATTCTTATTGTAGTTTATTTCCTCTAAATTAGATTTATCATCATCTTCAATCTGCGACTGATCATTTTCTTGAGAATCCGTAGTAGAATCGATGCTATCCGAATCAGAGTCACAGGTATTTTCTTCATCTTCGCTATTTTCCAATGATGATAATTGAAGTCGAGCAACTGAACCTAAGAGTGAATCTTCTATTGTATGTTTAGAATGGCGGTTGGTAGCATTCTTGGAGATGTAACCCGGAGCTTTTAAATGCACGTCGACATAATCAACTCGTCTACGAAAAAGATGGAAAATGTAATTACTTAAAACCCAAAATCTGAAAGATAATTTGCTAATTCTAAACTAAACATCAATAATTTGAATCTAGTATGATTCACTTGAATGACGATACTAATAACTGGGATTTGGTGTCCTAGATAAATTGACTTATCACCACTAACAATAATCTTATTAAAAAGGAGTTTTGAATAGCACTTAATCAAACATTTGTAAGGATCTTTATTCTATCGTCATTGATACTAAGGACTGGAATGAGTCTAGTAAAATAGGTTAGTATATGCACTGTGCACAAGAATCATTAGTAAACACAAATTTGTAGTTAGAATTTGTTAGATCTATAGTAAATGTTCAAATATGAGTGTTATCCGTAATTTTCACCACATATCTATATCCTACTGAAATTCATTTACACAACTTGATGTAAGATGTGACAAGTGAAAAAACTCGATACGAGTTTCCATAGTCTCGATTAATTTTGATGTTTAGGTGGATAAATTAAAAATATAAACAAAAAGTATTTGGGCATCTATACAGTGTATTACTATTCCAATAATTGAAAAGAAATGACCAATTGTGCTAACAGTTGCAAAGACTTAAAGTATTCCGGCTTTAGTATTTAGGAATAAATTAATTAGTACCAATTGGTATAAAGGCTTCTTAGACAAATGTTTTTTCTATGATTCTACAGTTGATACACTGTGATTTGGCTCGATAAGATAAATAATATGAACAGCAACTAGAACAAATGAAGAGTAGAAGTACAACGGTTTACATTGCGATTACACGGTTAACAATTAGTATGTACTGGATGAGTTGGTGAGATAAATTTTGTCGCCTAATACAAACAATCGGAAGCGGTGATTTGTTGAAAAAGAACCAATCTATGGTTCAATCTACCTTTTTATAGCCCAGAAAGTGTAGATAAGCGAGGTTAACCTAATAAGAGTCAATGTCGATTTTGCTTGCAGTTAGATGTTGATCTTATGTTGGATAGATTTTTCAATAAATTAGCGCTTGGTTTGATAAGATAGAAATACGTTTACGAGAGTTGAATTAAGTTGGTTAAAGTTAAAACACTCCGATTATAAGGACTAAGTTTCCACAACCTCCTTACAACCCACTGAACTACGCCGGTCTACTCCGAGTGACCACGAGTTTGACCATAAACGAAGATTGTCGCGTAGTGAAATTGTGCAAAGCTTACGTAAGGACAGAGAAGCCTGATGGTCGAAGCGTGCGAACGAGTTGGCACAGCAGTTGCTACTGGTAACTCCCAGAAGCTCTTTTAACTCACCCGAGTCACTGGCGGCAAGAAGTCTGTGAAGATGACGAGATGCCAATTTATAACATTTATCGACGTCTTGGACGATGGACAGTTTTTCAAGGTCCGGCGGACCTTTTGCCCGGCGACATCAATCACTGTCCTGCCCTCGGTGGCGAGTGAAGATCGATCCACCTAATGAGGCGGAATTCCGTAAGAAATTCCGACTCCTGAAGCGTCACAAATCACCAGACTCAGACCAATTACCTCCAGCCCTTTTTAAAGGTGGTGGCAACCTTCCGGTTAAAAAAACCCGACTGAGTTGTTTACAAAGGTCTGAAAATTAGAGAGTGCTCTAACATCACGGAATGAGTCGATAGTTGTCCCGATCTTTAAAAAGGGTTCACGTCATTTCTGCAAAAACTATAGGGGGATATGTATACTTCCGATTATGTCCAAACTATTGGCTTCCGTCGTACCTCATAGATTGTTCAAAACCTGAGAAAGATTGACTCGCGAGGAGCAGGCTAGTTTTCGTTCTAATGGAGGATGTATTGATTATATCTTCACCCTCCGCCAAATGTTAGAACACCGTCATACTTATCACAGGCCAACAATCGTAGTGTTTCTTGACATTAGGGTCACCTACTATTTGTTGGACAGCTCTTTTATCTGAGATCGTCTATTGAAGAATGTCTGAGTTTATTAACATCTTAAAAACCCTATATACAAACACTTTAGGCAGAGTGACGGCATACAACCACCTCCCTCCTTTGTTCCATTCAAGCAATGGGGGTGACAGGTTTGCCCAATCTCACCATTACTCTACAACTTTGTTGTCGACGACGTTCTGGAAACAGACCTGATGGATGTAGGGAGTAGTAGTGTAGGTCTGTTGCCTGAAGAAATACTTTATAACGTTGGGTTTGCGGATGACATTATCTTACTGAGCGATGATACCCAAGCCATGCAATCTGCACTCAATCAGTTGGCAGTGTCCGTAGATATAGTGGAAGCCGGGTCATCTTTAGAGCCTTCGTGACGTTAGTCTAACTGTAAAACATCGGGTCCACAACGCGTCGATGAGAGCGGTTTTGCGCTCTACTTATGAAACTTGTCCTCCTCGAGTTGAGGATGTTAAACGACTTCCTGTGCTTGACCGACGTTGTCTCCGAAAGCACTGACATCCAGTGGCAACGCCATGTTAGTAATGCCGAGGTACGGCACTGTGTGTTCGGGCGCAGAGACGACGATTCAATCGGTTATCATCTCGGAACACTGACTTTGATGGCTTAGACATGTTCTACGAATGTCGTCCCAGAGAATTACACATCGTGCATTATTTGCCGACGCTGGAGCCGGTTGGGAAAAGCAGAAAGGTAATCAGTGCACAACAAATATTAGTACAAAGGGGCACCGAATATATATGTGCCACACAAGTCACTCGATCTGTATGCCGTCTGTGATACTGCCCGGGTGCACAGACCGAAGCAAGGGTCACATTCGAAATCTTCGACCTAAAGGTCTAATTCACAAGGCAGTAGAGCAACATTAGAAGATGCAGTCCCATGGTAGCCGGTCACCAACAATTGGTTTACACATCATTTGTTCCCTCAGGATCCTGGAGCCCACGTGCACCATTCGTTTGGAATCAGAATTTTCCAACTCCCCTAGGTAGACTCTCAGTGTGCACCAACCCGGTTAAAGCGCCGGACATTCGCTTTTTGTCCTCTCACTTTCGTAAACAACAGTAATGCCGCGAGAAGGCAGGACTTCCCTTGTAGTGGTTGTATACATGTGATAGCATTTGGATAGGGAGAGCGGACTCTTCGAACCCTCGGCCGTACCAGAGCATTTTGGGGCACGACATGGTGTCGTGGTATGAAGAAAAGCTACACAGGACTGGCTTCTGTAGTTCCTCTGCCACTCCCTGGTTGAGGTACTAGAGATGGTTCAATACTGGCTTGGAACGTTATCAAATATGGCCCACAATAGAAGACTGTGGCTATCCTGCTGTAACTTTCTTCATAAAAGGAACGTTACTTCTTTAACTAAAAAAATTTTTTGGTTGTATTTTTCGTAATTGGATTGCTTTACCTATTATTTTTATTATTTTACTCACCCTCCACTACTTATCTTTTAGACCTATCGTCATTGTGTGGTGCATATACATTTAGTGCCCCATCGTACCAATGAGAAAAAACTTACTTTATAGAATCGAGGGAAGATGGTAGATCGTTGAGTGGAATATCGAAATAACGGCTGAAAAAGTTGACAACACCTTCTGCATCTCGTTCATATATGCTAGAGCAAAAGTAAGAAAGGAACAATACTGACTAATAGAGCAGGAAAATAGAATATATATTTAATAATCTCTTAAAACGATGTCTTAATTTCTAAATTGTTGGACTTATAGTGGACAATTAATGTAGAAATTAACACAACGGTTTACAAATGAAATGGAAAGAATAAGCACAAAATGAGATTAAAAAGAGGACTCAGTGCAACAGAAGACGAAAGAAAAAATTAACTACTCTGATTAATTTCTCACCATCATTTAAAACTGACGTAATCAATAACTCGAAAACCCAAAATTGTCAACCATTTAGCTATAAGACTTTAAACACCAGCCACACAGAGTATCATTGTCAGCTTTGGTTGATATAACACTTTATTATTTTTACACACACCAGGAAGAAATTTAGAACTAAGGATATATAATGAAGCTTACTAACCTATTTCTGTTTATACGGACTTTTATGGTGCCATTAAACTTATCGCTTACTCAAAAACTTGCTAGTTTTATTACTGATGATACAGTACATACTTATTAGTGGGTGAGGAATAGGAACTCTACTATTGTGTTCATGACAAAGGTGGAATATGTGCCAAACATCCTCGAACTTAATCTTGTATTTCGAAGACACTTTCATGGTGTTCGTCTGCTAGCGTAACAGGATCTTAAAACGTTACAATAATGAGACAATTAATTAAGCAACTGATCCTGAAAGTACCAGAATTTGGAGATCACATTCAAAATGCTAATAATAAAGCAGAGAAGTGCGGTATACAATGATTGTCATTGGCATAAGAGCTTTGAATTTTAATCTCGGGGTTGTGAAATCACTATCTTACAGTTTTAAGTGGGGTTAGCAAACCTTAAGAGTTGAGAAAATGCTTCAGGTCTAACATCTACATGTCAACCCATCGTATAATTAATCGGATCATCGACTTTAATGGGTTTTCAAGTGAATTTTGAACAAACACACGAGAGAATCTCAGAATTGTTTTGAAATCGACTGTGTTAACGGATGCTGAGAAGTAACAAGCCCTCAACTTAAATATAACACATTTCGCCAAATTTCTTTTACAATAATTTTTCATTCTAATTACTGCCTTTGGTTCTAACTGTTAGCCTAAGCCACATTGGTAGATGCAGACTACCTGGCTGGGGTTTGCGTGATAACCGCAATCAATGGGTGACATGACTCAGGATCGGTTATAGTGAGGCAAATTGAGAGTTCTAGTATTCCCCCATATACAGTTTTCCACTTCATCTTTTTGAACCATATTCTCTATATTAGGTCTTCCCCGTTATTATTGCTGCCAAATTATTTTGTACTCTCAATTTCCTTTCACCGTGATAGTTTGACAATGAGGACTTGGCTCAATGAATGCTTGTGGGAGGCTTTACGCTGATTATGACTGACTGACTGACCACTAATAGTCACAATCAGCATCCAACCTGACTTCTAGCTGAGACTATCTTCGACCTATGTTTAATCATCTCTTTTTATTGTCACACATTTTACACTCTGTGGGAATACCATGTTAGTAATGTCAAGGTTCCGCAGTATATTTCTCAGTACAGTAACGACACTTCATTTGATGTCACCATTATGAAACACCGACTTGGCGGGTTGACCATATGACCGATTCGAGGCTACATAATTTAGTATAGCGACGACCCAAACCAAATAGTTTGTTTTTAACAAAATGAATCAATGTGACAGTCAATGAATCCGTAGACTCATAAGAATGTTTAGTAAAATTGTTTTCAAGGGCTGCGTCCCACTTTTGGTCGTATATGATAAACTCAACAGTGTTTCTCGAACTGATCTTAGTAATCCTGACACCTCGTGTGCCAGGAGATTCACATAGAATTTTCGTTGCACATCGTATTAAACTCCAGAGATAAACACTCAGATAATTCGAAATCTAACGACTGTACTTGAAATACTTTTGTAAGAGAAAACAGTAGTAAAACGAAAATACTTGCGATAAAGATTTTACGCCCTAACACAACAGTAAGAATGGCCTGTCACGATTACGTTGGGATAGGATTTGTAGTGTTCTGTGATAATTTCATACACATAGACCAATCCGTAGGTTTTAAGTTTTGAACTTCATGGTTTCTGAATTATTTATATCGATAATAACTTTGTTGAAATAACATTAAAAAGCCATTCAATGAAGCAGTAGCCCTACAAACAGCTTGTACTATCACAACTGAGTTGAAAACCATTATGACGTTTACGCAAGTTCTGGATTGTAACCGATTAAGACATTCGAGATGTTAAAAATATAGGACCTCGGAAAGAAGTATTTAGTTGAAAAGAAGCTCACGTGTCAGCTAGTTTGTGGTCACGACTGATCATTTGAGGGAAGTCAATAAGAACCAGCTTGGGATTACTAATCTCCGTATTTTCTTCAGGGTCCAAATCGGAAACCATCAGATTAAACTCATTAAGATCACCATGAACAAGACCAAGAGAAGCAATTCTTTCCAATATGTTTTTGGCTTGGTAGTAAAGTGACCGTGCAAAAGCAGACTCATTGGAATTCAAAATACTCGGAAGTATTCTGTAAAGTGGCAGACTATCAGCAATATATGACATGACGACAGCATTTCGGTTGTGGGTGTAAGGGATAGGAACAGGGATACCATTACTCCGAAGGCTCTATGAAGATCTAAAGTGAAACATTCACTTACCTGCATCATAACGAACTCGCGTCTAGATGCTAGACGATCCAAATACAACCAAGAGCAACTACTTCTGTGTTGATGATAATCTCGTTTTTCTTTTACTTTTCTGAAAGACGTTCTCCCAAGTCTGTGAAATTTAACAACGACTGGATCTCCTTCGTTTGGGAAATCAACCAAAGGGCCTTCTGAGCCATCTGACGAACGCCCACATCGTGCACCAGCAGCAGCAATGTAGACATCAGACTCTTTTCCAGCTCCAATCATTGTTCCTAGACTTTCCAATTGTTCTGATTTGAAAAATTGATTAAGAGCAAGGTAGTCGTAGCCCAGGTTGGTAAGACGATATCCTTTCATCGCTGGGAAAAAAAAACACGTCATTAACCTTCAGGAACGCCAATATCATAGTAACATAGTTAAAGATATGCAAGCAAATAAGCATTACGTTAACTGCTTGTATATTATAACAGTTAGTTTCAGATAAGATCATGGTCATCATGAGGAACACTTACAATGTTTGTTATCAGTTTCGTAGGCTACCAACCTATTTAGTATTAACTGTTCTTGAACTAGATGGCTGAAGCCGATACAACTTCGTCTAAGGTGAGAAATTTTAAGTGCTAACTCTGGAGGCACGACTTCGTGATTTTTTAGTCCCATCTCGATCTAAAAGCAAGAAAGGTTTGTGAACTCCCCAGTTCTTACTGCTATTAAAGCACGCCAAGCTTCATTGGTTATATATCGGAAACGATCCATCTTAATGCACTTCGGCATGATGAACTGTAGTACTTGTATAAGTAAAAATGTCGACAGATATGTATTTCTATGCAGAAATCTAAGCCAAATACGCCACGCTGGAACGCAGCAGTTTAAATAATTACGAAGTCTGGGGTAATGACTGTCCAATAAACAGTATTCCAGTTTCAGATCACCGTGAGTTCTGTAATCTACTTAATTACGTAAGTTAATCTTTATCCACAATAATTCCTCATAATTATTTCAGGATCTCGAAAAATGTTCGAAAATTGCCTTTCGTAGCGGTAAATAGTTTTAATGAAGACATCTAGCTGAAGGTGTTCGGTCACGCATACGCACCAGATTACGAGTAGGTATGCCGTACTACGCATATCTTACAGCTGTCAGCCGGTTTACATTAAACGCTTCTCGATACATCGATAGCCTTCCAAATATATTCAAATGGTTCAAATGGTTGTGGACGGAACAGAAGAAGCTTTCGCTTAACAGGCTTCCGTGTCTAGTAGCATTGGATCACCAAATCCTCCAGGCAGGAACCTAGGTATGTTAACAATAAAAGAGGAAAAAATTCGAGCTTTTCCCGACGCTTTCTCAGTCAGTGTACCCATTTTGCTTAAAAGTTTATTCTAATGCTATTTATGAGTTATACACTAGGATTCAGAGATATTTCAACCATTATCTTCGAACCTCTTCATTTTTGACTTCTTATTTCACTAGGTTGGCATACTTCGATTATAAAGGTGTTACGTGTACATGTGTTATGAAACTCCGAATACCTGTGGAATGCTTAGTAGTGAGGCTAAAGTGATCCGGTATACCGAATTCTAAACTGTGAGTCAGTTCCTTCTTGGAACATTATGTGTAATTTTTTTACTTTTACACATTGTGATGTTGTTTTTATATCTCCGCTTACTTTTGCTCTCACTGATATATTGTAATTACATCATGATGGAACAGACACCTAAGTTACCTATTATTAAACCACTTTCGCCTACCACATCCCAGCTAGTGTCATCCTGGCGCAATAATATAGAAGTATGGTTCTGCCACACTAAAGCTGACTCCGCAAACGCGGAGTGACAGATTCACATTCACGATTTCTCGCAGTACTGAAGGCAGTGCCACGCGGATCAGCAGCAGACATTTCGCTATGAATACGAGAGGTCATCGGTCAAAGCAACTCTCGCGGGGCCCTGTTTAAATAGCTCTTGTCTAGGCTTCCCAACAGGTGCAGGCAATTCTTATCTCATTAAAAATAACGCTGTAGACGAACTAGCTGTATCTGCCGACCAGATCCTGGATATTAGCGAAACAAACAACACCGAGGTTTTTTCTGTCAACTAAAGTCCTCAAACAACATAAAACGACATCGTAGACCTCCGTACACTGACTCGTTATCTCGATATTCATCGTGATCGTAGACGCTCTCAATCATCTCGAAGAAGTTGGTCATTAAGGAGATCTGTCTCTGGACCACTAGAGACAGATAATCATCATTGGTGCCTGTACTATAATAAATGTGGCACGTCTTCTCAAAAATGCAGAACACCCTGCAGTTTCACGAGCTCCAAATCGACCGTCACGAAAAAATCTTCGTGAAACTTTCCCGCCGTGACGCGTTTGTGGAAGCCGTAGCCAGTGAACACAGGTGTAATGGCAAAAGTTCTCTATCACTTCAACAACTGAGCAGAAGTTGGTGTTCTCCCACCAAATGCATGAACTAGTCCTTAACTTACAGGCGGCGAATGGGAAAACGATTGCCATAAACGTTAAGCGATATGGTTATCCTAATGTGTGCTTACGCAAACCCATTCACTGGGTCTTCGTTGTTGCAGACGTTGCTATGCTAATCATAAGTCTGGACCTACTACAAGACAATCCACTTATTGACACGTAGGAACAGAGGTTAGTAGATAGCAACACAAAATTTCAGTTTTGTGTGACTTTCTTTTCTGGTTGTAGATTATTCCCAGCTACTATGAGGCGCATAATCGACCCCTTCTATCAACGAACACTCGATAATACCCTAAATGTACCGAAAGTGACCAAAATTGCCATGTGGGACCAAAGTTGTTACACTCCACATCAAGACTATTGGATCACCTGTAGCTTCCAAAGCGCTCCAACTAACTCTAAAAAGGCTAAGGTTGATGTAAAAATAATTCGAATACATGATGGGCTTGGGAATTACTCGGCCATCGAACAGCCCGTGAACGTCGACCTTACACACGGTCCCTAAAATGGATAGCATTTTTTGATGGGGTTTTGTTCTCTGAGTTGGATGGTTTGGTCATGGAGCTTCCAGTTTCCAAGGAATCGACCTTCTAAAACTCTCACAGCTTCAAAAATAAGACACTGATTTTCAACACGAGTTATCTTCGACAGCCCTGAAGCTACAGACCAAACAGATGGAACAAGCGAGGAAACTTCACTCTGTGACACATCTACAAGTGGGGATCGTCAAACCGTGCTGAAACACTATAGACTCAACGTACTCAATACGTTGGGCAAACTTTCGCATCTTAGTGTTCGTGCAACATTTAAGCTCATAGCAGAACGATTTTGCTAGCCTAGTATGCATAGAGACGTGATGGAGTGGGCACGCTCCTGTGCAAGTTGCCAGAAATCTAAGATGATTAGACACAACAAATGTCCACTAGGCTCTTTCATAACTCCAGATGTTCGTTCCGACCATGTCCATCTGGATTTGGTAAGATCATTACCAGATTCAAATGGATACTCTTATCTCTTAACTTGTGTAAACCGTTTCACTCGATGGCCAGAAGTAGCATCCATCAAGGACATTACTGCCGAAACAGTGGCCTGCACCTTTGTCGAACGATGTGTAGCAAAATGCTGTTATAACCACTATCGATATTTTTAGAACCTTTTGTTCTTCTTCAGTTTTGTCTTCTTGTTAACTTAGTCCATGTTACGGCAGTCCCTCATTCAAAGTAATCAGTTATTCAAAAATCTCAGCTAGTTCCGAGTCCTAAGTGCTATCAGTTATCCTCAATTACAATAACATGCTTTTGATTTTTGAAGATGAACGTATGCACAAATACTTGTTTTCACTGGTATATGAAGGTCAGTGAAAAAGTCAGTCTTTTGCTCGTACATTACACCGTTCAAAATAAGTAGTCAATAAATTACACTGTTCCAAAAATGCTGGAGTTTACTATGAAATTTTTTTTGGTTTACCACTTACATTTGCAGATAAAAATCAGGAAGAATAACGTACAAAAATAAAATTCGTAAAATAGGCTGATAACAATACGATTGTAGATGAGATTAAAAAAGAGACATCTTTTAATCATAGTTTTTATTTACCAGATTAGTTTTATAATTCATTATCTTATGACCGTAATCGTTGCATGTACTAATAGAAAGGTTGTTTTGAATTCAGCATTTTACAAGTTTCAAAGTTGTTTAAATCTTTAAAATATTTGTATTATCGACAAGTTTAACAGGTTACTTTTCATAGATATAACTAGAATGCATTCTATCATAAAACACTCTCCCCATTCTTGTTCAACTTTGTGGTCGACGTACTTTTAGAGATAACACTCTCCTCACCTAAATTTCCAGGGGTTGAACTTCTACCGGGAGGTTCACTTGTTGACTTAGAATATGCAGATGACATAGTTTTATTTGGTGAAGACGCTGACAAAATGCAGAGTCTTCTGACCACTCTAAGCAACAATGAAAGCATGTGTCGGGATGCGATTCTCTCCCTCGAAATGCAAAATGTTGCTTCAGGATTGGGTTACATCGACACCCGAACTAATGATAGGGAGTGAGGTAGTTGAGTGTGTCGACCGCTTCACTTATCTTGGAAGTCTCATCAGCCCTTGTGGTTTAGTGTGTGACGAAATCTCAGCACGGATACAGAAGGCTCGACTAGTTTTTGCCAACTTGCGTCATTTATGGCGTAGGCGAGATATCCGTCTATCAACCAAAGGATGTGTTTACTGCGCAGCAGTTCGTTCCGTCCTACTTTATGGCAGTGAAACGTGGCCAGTAAGAGTAGAGGATATTCGTAGGTTACTAGTATTCGATCATAAGTGTCTTCGAAACATTGCTCGTATATCCTGGGACGATTGAGTAAGTAACGGAGTTGTTAGGAAACGGGTACTAGGTAAGGATGGCAAATCGATTGATGAAGTAGTGAAACTTCATCAGTTGAGATGGCTTGGACACGTGTTACGTATGCCCAACGACCGACTACCTCAACGTTCTATGTTCAGTGGTATAGGAGTAGGTTGGAAGAAAGCTAGGGGGGCCAAACGAAAACATGGCACAAGTCCATGAAGTCACTGACAAGTGGATTGAGTCATGTTGGTAGGTGTAGACTACCTGGTTGGGGACCACGAGATGATAGCAACCGATGGTTAGAGACCCTGAATGACATGGCTCAAAATCGTTTGCAATGGCGCAAGTGCATCCACTCTCTGTGTTCTCCCAAATTCTAATCTTCTGAATTCTTCATGTCCCTTTTTTCCTCTTTCCAAATTTATTTCACTGGATTATACTCTTTAAATAACATCTCCAATCCCTAATCTTCCCGATTACTGCTTATACTCTTACCGCCTCTATCACTACGGGATTTGAATCGACAACTGCATCTCTGTGCTAATGTGGTGTGGCAACTCGAACTGATGTACGTACGTACGAAGTTCTACGTTGTTACTGACTGACTGACTGACTGACTGACTGACTGATCATAAAACACAATGAACAAGTGGATTTTTAACTAAGGTAAAAACAACCTAGTTATTCTTAAAGAAAATAAATTTTAACAGTATACAGTTAAGCGCTAGAGTTAAACGCGCTGAAGATTATGTAGGCAGAACAAGAGTTTTTCCTAATAATCTAATGTTCAGGATTTTGGATAACAATATACAGAGATATAAAAAGTAATTTCATCATGAATTAGTGAACCTTGAAAATGAGAAAGTTAAACACATGACTTGTAATAATTGTTATGTTCACCATTGATTTCAGATTAACTCTTTCTT